CACTTTAGCTTTTGTTCACTTTTTATAATTTACTTTTGCTGTGTTCACTAACATTGCTTTTACTGTTTTAATAGTTTTTGCTACCTTTTTGTGAGTGATTTTTGTGGTATTCTATGGCAAGATGCCAATTAGAGTATATTATTAATTTATTCAACAAAATAATGATTATAGTGTAATGATCAAAGGAATCAATTAATGACTACTCCCTATGCAGTATAACAAAAACTGCTAAGCCACATATAAAAGAAGATACTGTATGATAAAGAGATAAAGATAACAGCAAATGATTAAAATAATGCTCTCACTTTCAGTTTTGGGTAATCCTTCATTAATTTATTGTGACCATTCCAATGTATGGCAGGAAACTAAAACATCATGTTGTTAAAAATTATCATAAATTATTGTTTCTTACCCTCTAGCATGTTCTACTGCTTCATCCATTTTAACCCACAGCTTTTCTGGAGCGTACAATCCTCTGTCATCAACCTGATTATTATCACCTTTAGTTAGGAGATATACCTCACCATTATGACTATAAAGAGAGAGGGAGGAAAAGAGATCAAAAGTAACTAATGCCATATACAATGCAATTTTTTAGCAAAATCTAAGAGCGCAGTGAACATAACACTGTATGTAAAATGTACATGCATTATTGTAACAAGACAAGTAGACTGGGTAATGAGACATGTAGAGCATTCATTTTATAAAAAGAAAAGGTGTAAAAACATTAAAAATTTTAAACATCCCTATCGGCATGTTTAAATAAAGCGCACATATCCATCAAAAATAGGAACTGGAAAGCAATAATACTTACATATAGTACCAAATGCTGTATACACACCAATCAATCACATTAGAAAGAATACATATATCAAGACATACATGTATCCTCCCTCTTTCTCCCTCTGTTCTCCCCCACTTTCTCTCTTAACTTACTCCTCATGTACTGTTCTGTGTGTACGATTGGTATATCTCTGTCCTTTACTTTGAATACTATAATCTTCCCAGATTTTATTGAACCCTCTTCATAATTAGTCAAAAAGGATCACCTCTAAAAAATGCTGGCTCCATGCTACCACTGAAAAATAAATAAAAATAATAATGAGTTACAATATCCACCGACACACAATCATTACAAGTATATGTCATGCAAAATCAAATATTTAAGGCCTGCATTTATTTGCTCATAACTCAAAATTTTATATTGGATGTGTTTAAAACTTCATACACAGGATAAAGACATCAATATGTAAGTGCTGTATATGTAATATCCTCATAGAAGCACAGGATACATGGACTAGAGAGATTAATGAGAGATAAAGATGAACTAATATCAACAATGGAACGAGACATACAATGAACACTATTAAAAGAAATGGAGACATAGAAAGAGACATATTATACAGAGATACTCTGTACACAAGAACTACTGGAACACTGGAGTCAGAGATGAATAAAGATGTACCCCAATCAAAGAAACAGCTATCATGGATTCTGGAAAGAATGATCTATAGCAGTACATGCACATTTGTATGTGCTTATGTATATTGTATTTATTTTAGATGGTAGAGCCCAACAATATAAATTGTCATCGTCACAAGGAGCAGCAATATCAGCACTACAAAGAGAGGAGTATGACAGAAAAAAGACACACTTGCAACACATACATTATTCATAGAATGTTGATGAGAAAAGTTAAGAACTTGAGGAACTGAGAGAAGAGGTGCTCAAAAACACAATGAAGAATGCACAGGCATACTCATTGTGTATTATTACATGCATGTTTATCATCCATAGGCTATTAATTGTTACTTTTATACTAAGTACTTGCAGAGTATAATAAGAGGACACACTGTAAAAGACGAATTTTTAACACTCGCCAAGAAAAAAAGACACAAGAAACTACAAAATATTTTCTCTGGGTATTATGTTTAGAAGAACTTTATTGAACATTTTAATTTGATTCAAATAAAATTTTAAAATTTACTTTTTAATAAAAAAATTAATGTCTTTTTAATCAATTTTAACTAAACATCAAAATATAAAAAAGGACAAATACTAACTCCAAAAGTAACAGATTTATTTTAAATAGTATCATTTAGTTCAGCTATAATATCATTCATTGTTGGACAGTGTCTATACTCAACTATCAGGCAGCGTTGAACAAGAGACCTAAACGAGGCTCTTCTAATACCATCAATAAGACCTACCCTCTCTTCTGGTAGAGGATACGTCGTGTTATCATCTCTAGAAGGAGGACACCATAA